TCAGGCGAATCAAGCACAGTAATCCCACAGTCATTGAACCAGGTTTTGGTGCTTTTGGCAGTGTGGGAAGGTGCCAAGTCCTGCTGGAAAATGAAGTCAGCATCCCCATAAAGCTTGTCTGTGGAAGGAAGCATGAAGTGCTCCAAAATCTCTTGGTAGATGGCTGCGTTGATCTTGGACTTAATGAAGCACAGTGGACCAACACCAGCAGATGACATGGCTCCCCAAATCAACACAGATGGTGGAAACTACACACTGGACTTCAAGCATCTTGAAGTGTGTGCCTCTCCATTCTTCCTCCAGACTCTGGGTCCTTGGTTTCCAAATGAGATGCAAAAGTTGCTCTCATCAGAAAAGAGGACTTTGGACCACTCAGCAAAAGACTAGTTCTGTTTTTCTTTAGCCCAGGTAAGATGCTTCTGATGTTGTTTGTTGTTCAGGAGTGGCTTGACAAGAGGAATACGACATTTGAAGCCCATGTCCAGGATCCATCTGTGTGTGGTGGCTCTTGATGCACTGACTCCAGCCTCAGTCCACTCCTTGTGAAAGTCCCCAACACTTTTAAATGGCCTTTTCCTGACAATCCTCTCCAGGCTGCGGTCATCCCTGCTGCTTGTGCACCTTTTTCTTCCACACTTTTCCCTTCCACAGAACTTTCTATTAATGTGCTTTGATACAGCACTTTGGGAACAGCCAACTTCTTTTGCAATTACCTTTTGAGGCTTTCCCTCCTTATGGAGGGTGTCAATGATGGTTTTCTGCACAACTGTCAGGTCAGCAGTCTTTTCCATGATTGTGATTCCTACTGAACTAGACTGAGAGACCATTTAAAGGCTCAGGAACCCTTTGCAGGTGTTATGGCTTCATTAGCTGATTAGAGTTGGACACTTTGAGCCTAGAATATTTAGCCTTTTCACAATATTCTAATTTTCTGAGATTGTGGATTTGGGGTTTTCATGAGCTATAAGCCATAAACATCACAATTATGACAAATCACAGCTTGAACTATCTTGCTTTGCATGTAATGAGTCTATCTCATATATTAGTTTCACCTTTTAAGTTGCAATGCTGAAATAAGTGAACTTTTGCACGATATTCTAATTTTTTGAGTTTCACCTGTATATTGTCATAAGATTTGTGAGTAAACTTCAACTAGCTATATCCACACACTAAATGAAATTATATAGTATGGATTACAGACCCACAAATCACTTTACTGCATTTGTATTATATGAATCTACACTTTGTAGTGAGCTAAGTGTAGTGAGTCTTACTCCAAGAGTCAATTCTGATTCTAAAAGATGCACACTCTTATTGTATAGGTCAGTTGCTGGTATCTCTAGCTTAATTCTACTTATTCCCATTTAATATCCCAGAATGTCTAATTAATTCTTCAGTTATACAACCCAGACAGAAAGAATAGTGTCATGATAGTATTCCCAAACAAGTGTTATGAGTATGTATTTATATGTATTGTTCTTTTATACTGATAAAAAAAACTCTGCCACATCATTTGCAAGTGTTCTGTCTTTTTAAAATTCTATTCAGGTTGCTTTTCTACTGGCATATACAATATCAAAAATTGAAAATAAAATATAAATATTCTGCTAGTCTTAACTAGCAATGCATTTTTGGCATTTTTTTTTTATAGAATAATGTAGGTGTAAGAGGTATTATTTTCTTTCCTATGGATCCTAAGCAATGAATAATTTTACAATTTTTTTTAAAGATAGGCAACCACTGTTAGGTATGAATGGCTATATTTGTGGTGAAACGAAGAAAGAAAATAGTATGCAACATGTAATCTACCATTATACACTTTTAAGGAGCAACTTACGACTATCATATCCTTAGCAAGCAGTGTTCAGTTTCAAAGATTTGTCTCCATATCAAGAACCAGTTATAGTGATATTCTCCATAGGAGCATCCAGGGTATATTGCTGCATGAAAGTAATAAAGACATGTATGCTATCTTCTAATGGAGTACATTTATCGCACCCAGAGTTTCATAAAACAGATGTCTACTTTCAAAGATTATAAAATGAAAATGCTATATGGGCCTAAATAATAGGACAATTGTCTTAAAAAATGAGATTAAAAACTGAAGTAGAGACAGTAAAGAAAGTTAAGAAAACTGTGGGAATAAAGTAATCTAGTATGGACAAGCCAGAGGTGGTATTCAGCAGGTTCTGACCAGTTCTGGAGAACTGGTAGTGGAAATTTTGAGTAGTTCGGAATACTACCTCTGACTGGCCTGCACCCATCTATTCTCTGCCTCCCACGTTCCAGCTGATCAGCTGGATCTTCTTTTGTTGCCCTGCCCAGGAGAACCAAGCTGGAAAGCAGATTAGTGGGGTGGGGAGAGAATGGAGATTTTATAGTATCCTTCCCCTGGAGTGGGGTGGGAATGGAGATCTACAATATCTTCCCCTGCCATGCCCACCAAGCCACACCACACCCACCAAGCCACGCCCACAAACCAGTAGTAAAAAAAATGAATCCTATCACTGGGACAAGCCCATAGAATGCTTTAGGAAAATATACATTTGTAAGAGGTGTCACTAGTCAATCCTGCATACAGCATGATGATCAACTTAAATAGCCTTGTTAAACCATCTCAGGTTTACAAACAAACTCTCTCATCCTTTCCTTCTATTCACCATTCTACTTTTTCACCTGTTTATTGTGACCCTGAGATTAGAAAGGTATGATTATTTGTTATGTAGAAAAGTAAATTGTGCATCCACAAAGCAGCTTATTTGAATGAGGCCAATTACTTTGACCATTTTTCCTATTTCAGAACAACCACCCATGCAATGAACTCTATTGAAAAAGAATTCTATGCACATCCCTCGAGAGGCTCTATATAATCATTTTGCAATACCATTGATACACTTTTATACTTTTGTTGTAATTTGAACAATTAAGGTGATTCTCTTTGGGATCCTACGGAACCCTTGAATTCCATGCTGTCGACACTAATAACAAAAAAAGTATATTAAATTTCATCATTTGATTAGAACATCACATACCACCAATTTATTTAAGGACATTATAATTCAACTTCTTCATACCTGATGAAAGACAGATAGGATTTAAAACAATATTCTTGATTTATTTCACAATGAGATTTAGGATGTGAGACTTACTGAATAACATTTAAAGAGGCTATAATGGAGTAGTCTAATTTCTACTATTTCTTGACTATTGCAGCTTACTCTTGTTGGAGATGGCACCAGTTTGTCCCATAATTATTGGGACCATATTGGAACTACATAATTATTTTGTTCCGTGCCAATTTATTATATATTCTTATGTTCATTAAAAAGGTGGCTGCTTATCCATTTCTTGAAATTTGCTGTTCTGACTTCACAGTAGAATACATTTGTACAAGCAAAAAGGAATTATTCTAGAGTTGTCTGGATCACATTTCAGTAATTATAATTTGAAAAAGTTGCTTGAAACAAGAATAAATCCTTGTTCGGTTTCAATGCCCTAATGGTCATTGGTCAAGTTTTATTTGAGGAATAGTAATTATGAACACAATGCATTAGAAATTAAACAGGGATTTGGAACTCTGAATGATAAATATGCGTCTTGTTGTAATCATTCATGTTGCAGATTTTATAGCACTGCATTTTTAAATTCTCTATTAAGGTTTTAAAAGTTCAAATTGATTTTAGAAACTCTTTTCTGGCTTCATGAAAACCAAGTAAAACCAATAAAAAACTGGGGAAAATGTATTCAGCATTGGCAGAAGAGAAAAAAAAGAGAGGTAGTACTATATATAAAAGAGGACATAGCCTCAAAACTGATTTATAAAGATGAATTGGGAAGAATAGTAATGGTAGAGGTGGTAATACAAAATAAAAAGACACTATTAGTGGGGATATATAAAAATCAAGGTGAATTTTACAAAACTTTATATGAGAAATTAATAGAATTTGGCAATTCAAGAATTTGTATTATAGGAGATTATAATGCAATAATAAACAATAGCCAAGATTATGCTTGTGAACAAAGACAAAATAAGAAAAGGAATACAGTGCCTAACAAATTTTTAGAAATGGTGGAAGAATTAGAATTAGTGGATGTATGGAAGAAGAGGAACCCAGGAATATCACAATTCACCTTCTACTCCAGCCCACACAAATCATGGTCCAGGATAGACATGGCTTGGGTAAATAGTGAGTTATTAAGGAGATCCAGGATATAAAGATTTTGGCCAATACATGGGCAGATCATAGCCTGGTACAGATAATCTGGAAAAATAATTGCTATAAAAAAGGTAGATGGACACTCAATTCGCAATTATTGAAGGAAGAAGACTATATTCAAAAAGTTAGGGAAGAACTGACCAGTTTCTTTAAATATAATAAAAACAGGATACCTCATTGCAGAATCTATGGGATACAATGAAGGCATATTTAAGAGGAATATTGATAGCCTTTATAGCAAATAGAAATAAAGAAAGAGAGGGAAAATGGAAAGCTCTAACAAAAAGAATAGAGAAAATGGAAAATAAGCAAATGGAAACCCCGGGGAACCAGCAAATTAGAAATGAATTAGTGTTAGTTAAACATGAAATGAACATTTTAGACCAAGAGGAATTAATTAAAAAAATTACTATATACAGAACAAAATTATTTTGAACAAGCAAATAAATCTGGTAGGTGGCTGGCATATAAATTAAGAAAAGAAAATCAGAAAAGAACGATATATCAATAAGAGGATAAAAATGAAATAATAGAAACGGATTTAGAGAAAAAAAAGGAAATTGTAAGGGAATATTTTGAGGATCTTTATAAACAAGAGAAAGTTGACTTAAATAAAATAGAAGAATAACTGAAAGAAGGAACCCTGTATCCATTATCGGATGATAAAAAGGAGCTGCTTAATAAAAAAATAAACTTAGATAAACTAAAGGCTGTGATTCAAAAAAAACAACAACACCAGGTTCAGGTGGGTTACCAAATGAATTATATAAAGAGATAGGCGACATGTTAGAGAATATGCTATTAGAGGTCTGCAACGAGGTATTACTGAAAGCTAAAATTCCAGAATCATGGAAGGAAGCTTATATAACATTGATTCCGAAAGAGGGTGAAGATGCCAACCAAATAAAGAATTATAGAGCAATATCCCTTTTAAATTCAGATTATAAAATTTTTATGGTGGTGATTGAGGAAAGATTAAAAAAAGTACTGAGTAGCAAAATCCATTCGGATAAGAATGGTTTTCTTCCCACGAGGCAGATTAGAGTTAATACAAGAATAATAATAGATATATTAGAATATTATAAAAAACATCCAGGAAGCCAAGTGCCCTTGGTCTTCCTGGATGAACAAAAGGCCTTTGACGACTTGAATTGGGACTTTATGAAGAAGCACATTAACTTGATGGACTTTGGAGGTAATTTTGTAAAAGTGTTAAATGCAACTTATGCCACACAAAAGGCTAATGTATTAATAAATGGAGAGATTACTAAATCATTAAAGATAAGGAAGCGGGTCGGACAGGGATGCCCTCTTTCACCTCTGCTTTTCATAACAATTTTAGAAACTTTGTTGGATAGAATTAGATCAAATAAAGAAATTAAAGGAGCTAAAATTAAAAATCAAGAGTATAAATTACAGGCTTTCGCAGATGATATTGTTTTTGTTATAGAAGATCCAATAGACTCAGGACCAGCCTTACTAAATAAAATAGATAAATTCAGTAAATTATCAGGATTAAAAATTAATAAGGAAAAAACTAAAATGCTAGTTAAAAATTTAACAAATAGAAAAAAAAATGGAAGAAAAGATGGGATTACAAATTGTAAATAAGATTAAAAACTTAGGATAACTACACCAAATTACTGAAACAGATTGAAAAGGATTGGAAAATTGGAATACGATGCAAATATCATTATTAGGCAGAATAGCAACAATCAAGATGAATGTTTTACCTAAAATATTATATCTGTTTCAAACAATTCTGATATTATTGGATAATTTTTTTTCAAAGAATTAGATAAAAATGTGATGAAATTTATTTGGGCAGGAAAAAAACGAGATTAAAAAAAAATATTTACAAGATTAAAAAAAGGAGGGGTGGATTTGGACTCCCTGTCTGGGAGATCTATTATAAAGCGGCAGCATTAGTGTGGATAAAAGATTGGATTAATCTGAGGAACAATAGAATTGTAAAATTGGAGGGTCACGACTTACAATTAAGTACCATCAAATATTAGATAAAGAGGGAATAATTAAAATATACAGGAACTAGAAGCACAAGGAATAGTTTCATTGATAATTGGTCATATTTTCAAGTAAAATTGAGATATAATAAAGACGTAAAAGAATATGGAATTGAGGTAAAAGATACGCGTTTAGACAAAATACTTTCAAGTCCTGAGAAAGGGTTGATCTCTAAACTATATAATTATTTATTAGAACATGAAACGGCTGAGACAATTGTAAACGGACCTGTTAGCTTGGGAAAATTTTTTTGGTTATAATATAGATCTGGACGACTGGGAAGAAATAGGGCAAAAAAAAAATCATGTATTAACTAAATCAGTAGCACATAAGGAGAATCTGTATAAAATGATGTATAGATGGCATCTGGCACCCTCTAGATTGGCCAAAATATTTCCGACTGTTGGAAATGCAAAAGAAAATTTGGTACTTATTTTCATTTATGGTGGACCTGTCCTGAGACAAAGAAATATTGGTTAAAAATAAAAGCGTGGATAGAAGAAATCATAGAGCATCGGCTGGAGTGGAAACCGGAGCTGTTCCTGTTGGGAATGAGCAAAGGGGATTATACCTCTAAAATAAGATATCTGACCATTCACTTATTAACAGCGGCACAGATTTCATTAGCACAATATTGGAAGAAACCAAATGTACCACCAATACATGTTGCTATTCAAAAAACGTATGAGTGTGCCCAATTGGAGAGGCTCACGCTCAAAATCAATGGGAAGGAGGATACAGATTACTATAGGATATGGGATAAATGGTATAATTGGGCAGATTATAAGGAGAAAACACGCAAATGAACCCAAGAAACAAATTATATTCAGCTGTCTATACGAAATGTATAAGAATAACAAAGGTTTTAAACCCTCTTTTGTTTTACATTATTATTATTATATATTCACTACATCTTTTTATTCATTATTATTTAAATAATAATTTAAGAATAACAAAGGTTTTAAACCCTCTTTTCTTTTACATTACTATTACTATATATTCACTATATCTTTTTATTCATTATTTAAATAATATGAATGTATTATTAAATAATAGTTATAAACCAACAAGAAGATTATTAAGAGTATTGTGAGTTATTTAGTGATTAAGATGTGATAGTAAATGAAAATGTGATAAATGTTTGTTAGTATTGATTATTAGGACTTATCAATTTCGATACCAATGTAAAGAGGAATGTGTTATTTACATATTATTGTTTTTGTATTTTTTTAAAAAATTCTTGTAAATAAAGTTTACTTAAAAAAGAAAAGAAAACCAAGTGTAGGTTTACAGTTGCAGATACTCAACAAACAGGTTTGTTTTAGGGTTTGTTTACCTTTTGAAGGTTTTTTTTTTAAAAAAAAGAGGGGGTCCATTGAATTTGATTTGGTTGGCAGAAAGGACTAGCATCAGGAATTAGCTAATTCTGTATTGTTAAAACCTCTCCTTTTGCTTTTGTGAGGATATATATCAGGATATTTCTGTTTGGATCAATTTCCTTAGAGGGCCAGGCTTTCTTAAGAGAAATTCATAGTGTATTTATATGCCAGTGACTGTGGTGGGGAGATAGTACAAATCTTTCACTGAGATCCATATATTTATTAAGCATGTTTGTGAACAGAACCAAGACTATTAAGAGTATCCACAGAGAGAGATGTCAAAAAAGGACAAATCATGGGCAATAAGCCAATTACACCTTTCAATACAAAGCTTCCTTCCTAAGCTTTTTCTTCTCATGATGGAGAAAAGGAATCTTGACCCTGCTTAAATCAATGAGAAGGAAAATACATGTAGATAAATTTTAATTTTTAAATATGTACTGAACGTATCAGGGTGTCAAAATACAGAAGACACATGAGTTTTAGGGAAGAGAATAACATCTATGAACATTTATCTGTGAAAACTGCTTTCTCCAACCTTTTGCTTTTTGTTTGCTATAACATTCAGAATTGGTAAGCAAGAAAGACAACACTGGCTGGAGAATTGTAATCAAACATATTTGGAAGGTGAGGGAACATACATCTAAAAGATAGTGAGAAAGAAAACATGAAATTCTGAGATTTGTAGAAATTGATCATTAAAGAAGTTCTTTTTTTCTTTCTTCTCTACGTCTGACTCTTGAACAGGAAAATAATTTCCAATGGTTTTCATTATTTTAAACAAATCCAAAGATTTTTTTTAAAAATACTTAAAAAAGAAATTCTTCTGTTTAAAAATCCCAATGTATGTGGACTCTATTATTTAGATCAGGGGTGTCAAACTCAAGGTCCATGGGTCGAATCTTAGACCTGCCCGTGGGGTGCCCTGGAAACAGTAAAGGACTGGCCAATAGTGTCTCTGCCAGCAAAAATAGAACTTAGCCCGCAGACCTTCTGAACTTCATTTTTGCTGGCAGAGGTTGCACGAGGCTGTCCCATCCACGCACAGCCCTCCCAAGGTCCATTTTTTATGGTAGAGGGTTTCAGGAGGCCATTGCAACCAAAAACAGAGCTCAGGAACCTGTTTTTGCCGGCAGAGCATTGGGGCCACCATAGATGCCCCTAACATGAGTGACATCTAGCTGGCCTTGCTCACCTGGCCATGCCCACCCCAGCCCTCAGAGATCAAACACAACCTTGACGTGACCCTCAATGAAATCGAGTTTGACACCTCTAATTTAGATGATAACTGTTTGCAAATTTAGTGCCTGATATCTGAATAGATAAATGGATTTCAGTCACATAACCTTTGAGAGAGGTAAAGGATTGCTACTGTTTGGATTTGAAAGAGACTCACAGTGTTATCTAAAGTTTTTTTATTTGTATTTCCCAGCCCCACCTGAAAGAAATGATACCTTGATAACCAAAGAACATTATGATAGCTAGTTTCCAAGTAGTTTAATTATAATGAAATTGTTTCTCTCTAAAACGATTACGCTGTGGAGTCCATTAAATGTATATATTCTGTTGGACTAAAATATACAATAATATTTACATGATGGCTATTAAATAGCACATTAGTTTGATGTTCTTTATAAACAATGCAAGGATTCACTTCATTGAGGTCTTCTTCCTACATCCCTGAAAGATAAATCCAAAGATTCCTGGATTTTTTTTTCTTTTCCTTTTTTTCAAAGTTTGTAAGACTTTCTTCTTGTCATTATGGAAAGACATCTGGATTTAATTATTCATCTGCTGTGCATTTCACAGTTTGATCACATTAGTGATTTCATGACAGGAAGCAATTTAATTGCTCCACAGATAACTTCTCCTTATCTCTGGTATATATGCTTCACATAAACCTGCCTTCTTTCTATAGCCAGGGAAGACCTATTAACTATTTTGGCGGGGAAAAAAAGTTTCAAAAAGGAAGAAAAATATACCATGATAAAAAAATCTTGATTAGAATGATCTTTTCAAAATAAAGATCTTATATTTGGAATGTAACCAACTGTTATGCAGCTACAAAGTCTGATTGTTACTCTGCATTGTTATATTTGGGAGTTTTCACTTTCATATTATATGGTTTTTACTGTTTTCTTTTTTTGCCGCTGGGAATCTTGAAAAATTTGGAAGCATACAAATTAAATGAATGAATGAATATTAGTTTAACATATACAGATCAAAAACAAGTATAAATTAGAACAAGTATAAATTTAATTTTTCCTGGAGCCTCCCTAAACTGTAGCTAAGAATTAATTTTGTTTTACTTTTGATTTAAAAACATAAAAATAAAATCAAGTTTTGGGGCAAATTATACCCATAATTGGGTTTTGCCAAATTTAGTTTCTCAAGTGCTTCTCCGGTTTTGATTATGATTAAGGAAATTATTGATGCTAACACAGTTAATGTCACCATAGAAATAATGGATGAATTTATATAGCACACTTTGTTTAAAAAACCACAAATGAACCCGATAATGTTAAGCCATAAACAAATAATATAGCTAAGTAGAATAGGTGGATCGAGCCAATTGCTCATTCGCATTGATATCAGCTACGAAAATGGAAGAAGATAGGGTGGTAGCTATCAGTGACCAAACTGATCCAAATCATTTAATCATGGCTTGTAATAGTAAAGAAGGATTTCTAAGAATCCTATGTAAACTGACTTGAAGTTTCTGGGCGTAAGATAGGCCATCCATATAAATCTATACCCTTGGTGTTGCAGCACCAGGGATGCTGGAATAAGTGGGACAACCTTGGACTCAGAATATGTGGCACCTGCAGAAAGCCATCATTCTACTGATATTGTTCTTGGCAATTCTTAATTGGTTCCCTCCCAGAAAAAGCAACGCTAGCAGAAAGAACAGCAATGCTATTATCTGCTCAGAGCAGCATTTGTGAGATAGGAGGCCACAAAAATTGATTCAAATAAATAAAACAATACATTTGTGAACTTTTCTGAAAGAATCTTGCTAGTGTTGATACTAATTGATAAATTGTCAAGTAAAAAGACAGTTTTCAGATAATATCACTTGTTACCTCTAGACAAATAATCTAATTTTATGGGTTCACACAACTCACAGAGCTATAAACTCACTGCTGAGTTTGCACAACACAGTATCCTAAAATGCAGTTAGCCAGTTTGTGGCATAGCATGATAAGTGAATACCGCTAAAGAACCGAGAGGGAGGGAGAGAAAAGTCCACATAGTTCTCTAATCCTGAACCTTGTTCCTTCTAAAGGACTTGTCCTTGAATTGTGATGACAAATCATCCATGAAAATATTTTTTATAATATAATGCATTCGTTAAAAATAGCATAATTGTTTAAAATAAGAGAAAGATGCTGAATTATCTCATGGAAGATATACAGTATTCGATTACCATTTCCAGAGTCATTTTTATATAGCTTAGCATTTTGTTTTTACCATTTGGTTGCTTCAATATTCTGAGCAGATGTTTCAATTAAGATATCTATAAGGGCCCCCCAAGGCCTTTTCTCAAAATAATTCCAACTAAACTCAGAATCCAGAAACATTTGTGGGGGAGAAATGATAACATACAAAATGCATAACCATATTGTTGATATTAGGCTTTATTTGCATAACTTCATTACTTTGAACCCCCACCCCCCCGGATCCTTTGAATCGGGGCCCATGATGATAAATATGACCTTGCTTTTATTTACATGAAATATCTTTTAATGATTAATTCCCTTCTCTCTCTGAAAACTTTTTTTAAAAAACCAGTAATTTCTCTGAATTCTGCTCAAAATATTCCCACTGGCTGACCAGGAAAAGCTAGGTTTTAATTATACCACACATCTTCCTCAGATTCCAGTAAACTTTTCCACAATTTTTAGAGCAGTTTTTAATTTCCAAGTTTTTCCACTAGTTCCACTAGTTTTTCCAATAGTCTTTGTTTGATTCTCTCTATACTCTAAGAGGAAATAAATTTGATGGTGTATCTTGAATATTCTTTATGTCAACATTCTCAAATGCCACTTTATGCTTCTAGCTGTCAAACTGTCATAATGTCAGAGTCCCAGTATCCAAATTCTTCTGAATCACACTGAAGCTCTTAATGACCATCAACACACCATACTTCTTATGACACAACTTTTGTGTCATTTGTGATATAACACATATTCATCATCTGTTGTTCATTATTACCCTTCTTGTATCATCAAATGATACTACCATAAAATTTAGATTACTAGATTAAATCAGATAAAGCCTCCATACACATTTTTAGAAGAAAATATAAAATCATAGAACAATCTTTCACTTAATACATGGAGACTTCCTGCAATTGACAATTCTGTTATTTTATTTTCAAAAATAACCACCACCACCCCGCCAAAAAGAAAAAAATCCAATCCTTCTTTTGAACCTTAAAATTTTAGTATTCTAAAAATATCACAAATAACTTTTTTTTTAAAAAAGACCTATGAAGAGTATTTATATAAACGAAACTTTGTTCTAGCTAAGTTTGAAACTTATTCTTCTTTAGCAGCATCACATAAAGCACAAGGCTTCATGTCAAGTTGTTTGTTTTTGCAGAACAGCTTTTTTTGTCTTGTATATACTTTTTTGGAAGAGATATAGATTTAAATTGATAACATCTCTGCTTTCTACATGCTTGAGAGCTCCATAAGTCTGAAACATTTATTCTGGCCTCCACTTGGGCTAGGCTTTAATAATTATTGGCCTTCGGGGACATGCATGTTCATGGAATATTGGTTCCTCTCTCCTTGTGCTTCCCTTTATTTAAGAGAAAAGGACTAGATGACAGCTATGAAAAATGGCAGCTGCAAGATCTTTTGCAGAAGAGAAATACAAGTTGTTCTGTCATATATGACGAAGTCCAATGAAATTTAGGCAGCCTATTTCTTTGTTCCTTCAAATCTATTTCTTTTTCTTTCTAAACTTCAGGTAAGTAGCTTACAATACCTCTGAGAAGTACACAAGTCCTATAATAGAAATCAGAATTTATTATATATAGATTATATGTCAAGGTTATCCATTCCCTTCTCTGTCTGATCTATTTTCCTGAGGTTTCTAAAGTCTTCATCAGCTATTTGTTCCTTTTTATTCCTGTTCCTGCAGCAATACTAAATTAATAATTTGGATTGGCTGCTGATGTTTGAAAAATTATTATAACTGGACTTCAGTTATATTAATGCTCAATATTTTTTTTAAATACCATGCTGCCAAATGGTATATCAACTGCTACTTATGGCTCCAAAGAAGGCATGAAGATATATTCAAGTGAGGTTTTACACAACTATAGCACAAAGGGTAAGGCAAAATAAAGCAGCCTCCACTGTTTTGAATGGTCTACCAGTCACATTTTATATGTTCTATCTTTTATAAAGAACTATGGACTGAGGTACCTCTGGATTGGAAGGGAGATTCTCTGTATATGCAACTAAAAGAAGGAAGAATAAAATTTGGGAGAGAAAGAGAAGACTGGATTTATTAGAACAATTGTTTTATTGGCAAGTAAGAGTTAAAAAAAGATTTGAGATTTTGGCTCTTAAGCTACTTAGGAAACAAATGTTTGAAATTTTTATGTATAGATGAAAGTTGGAAAAAATCAACAAAAATATTTGAGTCAGCAATTGACTTAACATTTGCTCTCTGTCTTCTATCTATCCATCCATCTATCCATTCATTCATTTATTCATAACATCTCTTGAATGAATTCTTGTCTGCCTTTCATGGAATCCACATTTTGAAGCTTGAACATCTATTTCCAAATAAAGTAAATGACACAGCAGGCTTGCCATTGAATTGTCATTGTGTATTTCAAACTAAATGAACACAATAATGATAATATTGCCATCTAGTTCATATGGTTGAACCTACATCCAATAATCCATTAACCACTTTAAACAATTCAAGTGGTCCATAGTAAACAGATATTCTGATGGGAAAAACAAACAAACAAAAACAAAACAGAACCCTTTTCTGTATGCTTAAGGGCTTCTGAAAAGCTCTGAATAATTTATGGACAAACATTGCACGGACTTTCTGCTAGGGTTGTGCATAAAATGGGAAATATGCTTTGTTTTCAGGAAGGAAATAGGAAAAGAGTAGGAGCCCATACTGACTTCTATCTCCTGCTCAGGTGAGTGAAAACCTATTGAATTCAAGTATATCTTGTAAAAAGTATATATCGTACTTTTTTCAATTCAATTTCAAACTTTTTTTTCAATATATTGTACTATGATTGGCTGCTTCACTATATAATTCAAGCAGTTTCAGCATGTTTTTCTTTAACCAGCAGTTATGTTGTTCCTCTCTTTGCTTGTATGACCATGATTCATTTATTCTAAGAGTTACTGCAGAAAAGTAAAAAAAAACAAAAACCACCTAGTACTATTTAATTCTTTAATAAATTTGTAATTTGTATCTGCAAACAGCAATATCTCTATCTCTTCTGTATAACTCTCACTTCTTATAAGATGGGGAATATTATATAAATTTCATAAATAAATAAAAATGAATTTTGAAAATTCAAACATGAACTAAACCCTTTTTAAGGCATTTGAGAATTACAAATAATTATGATTATGATGTAATGATGTCACTGGATTTTTTTTTAAAAGTAGATTAAATGTGTTAAGCCTACTAGAAGTTGAACACATATCAAGGATGCTTTTTCAAAAGGCAACTGGACTTCATTTTTCCTGGAAGACTGAATAACTCTTTCAGTCAGAACTGAAGAAGTTTCTTGGATGAGAAGCAAAATGTCTTCAAGGAAAAATTAAGTCCAGTTGCCTTTTGAAAAAGCACCTTTGGGACAACTATGATCTGGATGACTGAGAATCTCCACAGATGACAAGCTGAAAAAATATATTTTAATACTTCCTTTCAACAACAATACAAGTAAAAAACTGAGTGATGAAGTGTGTTGCTTTGCTGCCAAACTTTAGTGGCATCTCATGTGACCAGGGGAAAAAATTGCTGGAAAGTAAATGTGACCCATGAACTATAGACTCCGTACATCAAACATCTAGTTTAATTTATTATCCTGCATACTTGTTTGATTAAAGTACTTCTAACTGCCATATATATCAACAGAACCCAAAATAGGATACAATCAACAAGACAAATCAACATGAAGTCATGCAACTTCGATAATTTATAATATGTCATACATGACAGAGCTATAATCAAGAAAGTTAAAATAGCTCAGCATTAATTTGCCATGAAAAAAATAATTATTTCATCATTAGTATGGCCATCTGAGAATAACCCATCCTGTTTCTTCATATACTATACTGTATCAGAGGCAATGGTGACTGTGGTGGTAAAAGGATACCCGCTCCAAGACATGAGCTGCATGCAGTATCAAACCAATGGGATGCCCACCCCCAATCATCACTCAGGAACCTGAGAAGGATAATTTAAAATGTGATCAATTTTTATATAGAACAAATAAATATTAGTAAAGTAAAGCAGTGATGTATGAAATGAGCCATGAGATTCTATTATGCATACACTGCAAAATGACAGTGACTTTTTAAGAAATGCTTGACACCTTTTAAAAAACTCACAGAAATACCTTTTCTTACAATTAACACTCTTTTGACCTTTTAAAACTCTATTTTGCCAAGGTAAAAAGATCATTGCTACAAATTTTACAGTAGATATTCTATATAAGCTTTTTTTTAAAAAAAAAACCCTAAAGATATGAACAAATAACAATACTTTAAAAATGTAAATTAGAATTTATTACCTTCAGAGATCAAACCAGATACTTTCATATTGAATCTGATTACCTAGCAGTATTTATTTTCTTTTTCAAATACCATTTCCATATATTGTACTTATGTCATTTAGAAATTAACATGATCGGCTTAATTACCCAGTGCATTACAGCCAGAATTTAGCCATCATCATCCACTGGTTATTGCTAAAATCACGAATAGTAGGAAATGATAGAATATTTCCAAACATCTTTCTACACTTCACATATTGTAGTTATCATTATTGGCCTAAGCAACTGTCTTAATCAATCTGGAAATTTGAGCTGGGAAATATTTATATTTTGCTGCTCTTTGATAACTATTACACTACTATCCTAAATAATACCAAATTATTTTCTGAAAAACAGAATACACATTATTCAAAAGACTGAGTTGAAATACTTCCCTGTTCCCATGAGCACTAAATATGAACTAGGAAATCATGACAAAACCTTCTGGGATGGATAGTGGACATAAGCAGTCTACGTGGCATTAATGTTCTCTTCTGTGATGAAGGAACATTTTAGTTATTCATTTGGCAAAAATAAGAAACAGAAAAGGAAAACAAAAAAACAACAACCCCCAAAGCATTTATGACAGTGATGATTAAGTAGGTATCTTGTTTTTACTTGTTTTATTAAATTTATGCTAGATATTTATTATAAAACTATATTTTGGGAAGGAGAACATTGCAGCAATCAGTCTGAGCCCCCTTTCCCTACCTGTTTTCTTCTACCTTTGCCCCCTTCAGATGGGGATAGTCTAAATAGCTGGACCGCACCAGTATAGAAACAGGATGGTTTTGCCCTTGTATGTTGAGAAAGGAGACTGCAGTCATATGAGGGTTCAAGAGAAGAGAAGGTCTTGGGTCAGAAAGGAGAAAATGTCAGGACAAAGTTATCTTAGTAAAGTGGACAGTTGGTACTATGGGAAAAGCAGATGTGGGATTCAGACACACAAGCAGCTGAAAGAGAATGCATTGGCAGAGCCTCACATCCACATCAACACTTTCAGAAATGCTGGTAACCTACAATCAGCCATTGGCTGGTAACAAACCTTCCTTTTCCCAGCCAAGATTGAAAGATTATGTAAAATGCTAAAGCCGATGCAGACGGTCAGGATAGCAGCAAATGGAACCTTCTCTTAATCAACCTGGAGATTTGAGCTGGGAAATATGGCAGCCAGCAACATTCAAAGTGGCTCTAAAGTAACTACAAGATAGTGTGATGGTATATGGGAATGATCTTGGAAGACCAGATGAAGATCTGCAGCCCAGATCTGGTAAAAGACAGCAATGTCTACAGATGAGGAGAAAGAATTGGAAGCATGTCAGAAAGGATCTTCCTTAGCTTTTCTGTGCCTAAAAAGAGGAGGGGAGAAATACTTTCAATTTAGCTAGATTAAGCTAGATTTAGCTAGTTAATCTTAACTGTGCAATTAAGTAGAAATTCTTCATCTCGATGTGCTTTTTGTCTGAACTACCTTGCCAGGCTGACATCAATCTTGCTTAGACTGCAAGTATTTCTCTTCTCTCCTTCTAGTATTTTAGTATTTAGTATCCTTCTAACAAAGCAAGGGTTATTCCTGTTTCTCCTACGCAGTTGACATCACATTTTAAACTTACATTACCTTCTGCTTTAATACAGCAAATCTAAAGTGGTAGCAGTTGCTTAATGAAAGTGCCACTTACAAGCCCTTCAAATCCCCAACTCATTACTGCCACTGCTGTTTGGGCAGTCTTGGGCGGAATAACACTGAAATAATGATAGGATCTTGTTCAATGCACTTATGTTGAAGTGGTCATTTGCATAAATAATCATTACCTAGCTAGGGATATTTGCTCTCCTTTTCAAAGTCAAACTGCTTAGCTATGGCAGAAAACCCTGGAAGGTGTCCATCAGTAGCATTATGGCCATTATTCACTGTTGTTCAGCAAGAATGCTTCGGATAAAGCATCCTACAACTTTTCACTTTAACACTATGAACTATGTCAAGCATAAAAATTGAAATCCCAGCTTCATTGCCAGGATAATAATGTTAAGTTCCCATTAAAGTGCCATCCTAAAATCTCTCTGTGCCTTTAAATCAACAACAGGACCTCTTGATGAGAATAATTTTACTCAGAATTGCCATACTGCCCAAATAACAGTAAACCTTCCTGGCAAACATGTTGTTAATTTCATGTACTGATCTTAAAGGACTGCCCAGAAATCCTGCATAGCACATGACTCGTAACTGTTAATGAAGTGCTGCTCTTTTTAGAAAATGACTGACTAAGCTACAATTAATTACAATAAGGTATCAAAGAATGTAAGTCCATATAGAGAGTGGTAAGGAGAGCCGAGAAGATTATAGGAAGCTTACTTCCTATTTTCAGGATACTGCTTATAAGTGCTATGTGTTTAGAGCTCCAAACATTGTTAGAAACCCCCCACACCCACTTTACTGTCTGTTTCAGTTGCTCCCCTCTGGGAGGAAGTTTTGAAGTATTTCTAGCAGGACTTCCAGATTCTGTAACAGCATTGTTCCCTATGTCATCTGTCTGGTATTCGTTTTTTGCAAGATTTGTTTTTCTCGCCATGCACATGTGTACATCCAGACTAGACTGTGTTGTTTCTCAGTGTCATATAATATAATGTGGGTATATGTATGTGTGTATGTATGTATTTATTTTGTCATGTTCATGTAGTGAATATTGGAGGTGATGAGAGCTGTATGCAATGAAATTTCATTTTAATGTAGGCCAATTAGCGTACATTCAAAGTTACAATAAATTTATTCTAAAGTTCTAAAGTTGTATGTAGTTTCAGTCAATCCTGACCTATCTCCTGTTTTAGTTTAAGCTTCATTAACTTATAACAGTGTACAGTATGCATCTATTCATACATAATACAATGCTGCAAAGGGTTGCGAAATACTACCAGAAGTACAGGCATACTAAAAGACTTTCGAAGGGCACATCTTCTTTCCCTTATAGGACGAAGTTCTGCTTCCTACAGCATCTGAGAAATTTGCCTCGAAATTGTCCTTCAAGGGAAGTTCACTTTCTCCCATTTCCCAACATGCAATGCCATGTTGAATCTTCTCAATCCTTTGTGTTATGCCTACAGTTCTAAAACTAAACTTAAAATATTCTCCCCCAAATTAATATATGGAAATTACCATCCAACCACCCTCAAACATAACTAAAGTCATACACTATATGCAAAACTGTGTAAGAGCTTTCTATATACAAGCTATTTATATAAATCACATTCAATAAAATTTGCTTCTTTGCATTGTGTTAACATATGTATCCATGTATTCATGTATTAATATTGTGCATGAATATACTGAATATGGTAAACTTGCCTGCATGCAGCATTACCCATACAGAAGCTTTATATGCTAGCTATTATGTTATTGTACGCCATTAGTAAGAATAAGCTATAAAGAAGACAGACTCATTTGTTTCATACAAAAGAAGACACCGTTTTCTATTATGCCCCCATTTGGCTCTTGACCCAACTGACTTCATTTCCCTTGTCTCTCCCCAGCTCCTTTTGCACAGCTGTCTTTGCTTTGGATGTCTGACAGTGCAGAATTGACAAACAAAAAACCTTTGCAGTTACTTGTAGCTACCAGATGGAATATGTGCCTACTTCTTTAAAAAGCTACCCAGTGCCATAGCCGAACCTCTAAGCATAATCTTTGAAAAATCTTTCAGGACCAGCTCCTTGCCAAAACTATGGTCACAAGCCACGGTCATCCCCATCTTCAAAAAGGGAGACCCCAGCCTAGTTGAAAATTACAGACCAATCTCTTTATGCTGCGTCACCTGTATATGGAATCAATTATTAACCAATCCATCATCCTCTACTTAGAAACAAACAACCTACTCTCTAATAAACAATTTGGTTTTAGGAAAAAACTATCATGTAATCTGCAACTCTTACACTGCAAAAACATATGGACTACACAACTCGACCAGGGCAAAGCAATAGATGCAATCTATATAGACTTCTGTAAAGCCTTTGATTCAGTGGCACACGACAAACTACTCCTAAAACTAAAATCTTACGGTATCTCTGGACACCTGAATTACTGGATAGAAGCATTCCTGTCAAACACACAACAAATGGTCAAAATTGGGAGTGTCCTATCAAATTCTGTACCTGTCAACAGTGGTGTCCCCAAGGCAGTGTTCTAGGACCAACTCTTTTCATACTCTACATAAATGACCTCTGTGATCATATCAAGAGCAACTGCATTCTCTTCGCTGATGATGTAAAGCTATTCAACACCACAGACAATACTGCTACCCTTCAAAAAGACCTTGACTTTGTATCAGAATGGTCAAACAAATGGCAACTTCAAATCTCAACAAATAAATGCTTTGTCCTACATATTGGCAAAAAAAATCAGAAAATATAATACAGACTGAATAGTCAAGACCTTGTTGATGATCCAAACTCTGTCAAGGATCTTGGAGTACTCATCTCAAATGACCTAAGTGCCAGAGCCCACTGTAACTACATAGCCAAAAAGGCGTTAAGAGTTGTTAACCTAATCTTATGTAGCTTTTTCTCTGGTAATATTACACTAATAACTAGAGCATACAAAACATTAGCTAGACCAATACTTGAATACAGCTCATCAGTCTGGAACCCACATTAGGTATCTAATATTAACACAGTTGAGAAAGTCCAGAAATATTTCCCAAGAAGAGTTCTCCACTCCTCTACTCGTTGCAGAATACCTTATGCCACCAGACCCAAAATGCTAGACCTAGAAAACCTTGAACTACACTGCCTTGGGTCCGATCTAAGTATAGTATATAAAATCATACATTGCAATGTCCTACCTGTCAATGACTACTTCCACTTCAACCATAACAATACAAGAGCAAACAATAGATACAAACTCAAGGTTAATCGCACCAAACTTGATTGCAGGAAATACGACTTCAGCAACAGAGTGGTCAATGTCTGGAATACCCTACCTGGCTCTATGTTTTTTTTCCCAAACCCCAAAAACTTAAACCTTAGACTGTCTACTATTGACCTCACCCCTTTCCTAAGAGGTCTGTAGGGGGCATGCATAAGAGCACCAACGTGCCTACCATCCCTGTCCTATTGTTTCTTTTATATTTTTTTATTTTTCTTATATGTATCCATGTATTCATAACTATGTTTTTACTTATACCTATTATCTTGTAAGCAATTGACAAATAAAAATAAATAAATAAAATATATACCTAACACGTGGTTTCTGCTAGACTCAAGTGTTGAAAGTGGCCATTGTAGAAACTATGTGACAGCTGCTTTTCTTTTCTTTTGTAGTCCTCTAGCCTTAGAGAAGAATCAAGAGAGCTTTCTCTAGTGGGATAATTTTTCCTCTGGGTGAAACCCATGCACGGGAGCATTTCCCAACTGTTCCCCCAAACAACTGTCACATTACTCGCTCGTCCTCTAGTCACAACCAGATGTCCATCAAATATATCCAGGTTGTTTGGTTAGAGCAGCATATTGTAAAAGAAAACCAGATACTGTCCATGGTAGATAGAATTACTCTTCCATATCTCCAAATAACACATGTATTTTCTGCCACTGCTGTACTTTTAACATTATTGTCTGCAACACCAACTGTCTGCCATTATGCCTATATTTATTGACTTCATTGTATGGCCACAGAACTGAGGAAATGTTGAACATCACACAGCACCTGTTACAAAACTGAAAGTTTCCAATTGTTCAACAGGAGAATTAGGTTAAAAGCAGATGGAATTGTGTGTCTGCTGTGCTATTTTCCTGGCACCACTTAATGACATTGGTCATTCTGTGACCAACCTGATATAATGAGCCTGACATAACACAGCTTTTGGGGGTTTCATCTTTCTTCATATTTATTTGAGAAAGAATTCAGAATGAAGTTTTTACACAGTTGGTATCATTTCTGATGATTTCCCATTTGCATTATTATACTTATGATACCCTACTTTTTAATACTACTCAAGAATTTCAGCTGGTCCAGAAAAAGCACATCATAATGTTTATTTGATTTGGCAGATCAGAACACAGGACTCCAATATTCTTACTATTTTTCCTGATTGCCCTATTGTACCACATTTAAGTGAGTTTTAAAAACCTGGCTTTTCCTGCCAGGCTTCAGATGCCAGGCCTCAGATGTATGAATCAAGGCATCTAAATTTTAGGTGGAAGGAACATTGGATGAATTTGTTCCCTCTGGGTAATTTCTGTTCTTTTTAATATGATTCCCCCCCCCCTATTTTTATTCTGAAGCTGCTCAGATTTTGGGGGGAATCAGGCAGTCCTGAAGTTTGATGGCTGGATGCAGTGGTGGGTTTCAAAGTAGGTTACCACCAGTTTGGTGGGCACACTTTGCACATGCATGCCAAACATGAACTTTGCACATGCACAGAGGCTTTCCTACTCACCTCCTGCAATCCTGTACTCTCCCTGTAGCTTCAGCAGCTGACATGCAGCATTCTGCTGTGCCGCACAAAGCAGCTGCACTTCAAAAGCAGGGAATAAAGGTCAGTATGGGAGCACGGGCGAGAGGGTGGGCCCAAGAGCAGCTCCTCAGAGACAACCGGTTCAGTTTCTGCTTATCTTTGGCACTACCAATATGCCAGAACTGTGCCTAACCTGTAGAATAGCATCACTGGCTGGATGGCTGAATGACTGAATGATTATTTTTTTCTAAGATCAATTCAAAAGTGCTGTTTTTGACCTTTAACTCCAGGAGTCCTGGCAAGAATTTTTCAGGAATCATCTGATTGTGTTTGAGCTAGCTATCTCAGCTGAGATCATCTTTAAATATCTGGCTTTGTATCTCCCCATCATCTGAGGAACACACATTTAAGAAGATAAGGCCACTGATATAAAAGCAGGAGTGCAGCCATCAACACACACACACAATTACTTTTCAATAAACATTAACTTGTTTGCTTTTTCACCAAGCATTTTTGGGTAGAAGTATACCTAATAAAACATGTTTGGATTCAAGATATGTTCTGTTACCTGTTGCACCTTTTACTACTGTATTGGTAATTTTATCATTAACCTGTCATCTATAAATTTACATATCTCTGTTATCTTGAGTAACAATACCATTTTGAAAGTTAATATATTTACTTTTTTTGCAAGGAATAAGAAATAATTTTTAACTCTTATACCAAATTGGTTTCTTTTTTACATTAAACAAGCCAAAATGTCATTCCAAATGATGATTGTTAGCTAGAAAATGTACATATAAGAAATATAACAAGATATAATGTATAAGAATCATTTTTATATGCCACTGATAGCATATACTGAAATGTTTTTGAAAATTTCGCATTAGCTAGTGAGATGGTTTCTCTGTGGAAATTAATTACAAATCCTATAAAATCGGTAAGAAATTTCCTTTTGTCATTTAGTATGTCAAATGAAGTACAGGTGACATATATTAGCTGTATAGGGATGAACCGCCAGCTGGTTAGAATTGCAAGGAAAAAAAAACAGTTAAGATATTGAAAGGCAATTCTTGTACTGTAGAATATTTCACATTATATTATACAGAAATATAGTAAGTAAAAGCAGAGTCTGGGGAATCATGGAAACCATCCTATTGGATCAGGCCAAATTTCAGCTTTGTTCAGCAGAAGCAACAGTAATTGCACTTAAGACTTATATACCTCTTCACATTGCTTTATAGCACTCTCTAAGTGGTTTACAGCATCAACATATTGCCCCCAGCAATCTAGGCCCTCATTTTACTGACCTCAGAAGGATGGAAGGCCAAGTCAACCTTGAGCCTGGTGAGATTTGAACTGTCAAATTGCAGGCAGCCACCAGGCAGCAAAAGTAGCCTACATTACTGCATTTTAACCACTGCACCACCATGGCTCATATCCCCTCCTGTTAGTAGTATTTGGAGATATGCTTAGTCTGATAGCAGGTAATGTTTTAAAGTATACATCTTAAAAGTGCAGAGTCAAAATAGTAAGATTTTCAGGTAATAGTGAAAGGATTTTGGGTAACATGTTTGCAAAAATGCATATAGGCAGAAGTGCAAACAAAAATGTGTTTCTTAAAATAAAGTTCAGATTCATTTATGTTGGGAAAAGCTATTTTCAGAAAGGTAAATATTAAAAGAAATGGAAAATGAACATTCAAACACACTTTTAGATTACAAGTAGATATAGGATGAAGTGAATCTACAAATTTAAACAAGAGAAATAATGAAATTTTTAAGAAGATAAATTCATTATATACTCTCCTAAGAAGATCTCTTCATTTATCTGGTGAATCTCTTTTTACTACAATAGTCATATTTAGTTTTTCCCTTTACAAATGCATACCTCAGCAGTTATACTGAATTCTGCAAATTTTCAGATTATTTGTTAACTAAGTAAGAAAAAAAGGCAGATTGTCTGATTCATGATCTGTCAACAAAGCTTAGTTTGATGTTATGGATTATATGCTCACTCTTGGTTGAGGTCTTCCTCAGTTCTTGTATAAGTTTGCAGTTGGATGAAGAATTCATATAATAACATCATTTTTCGGTCCCAGCATCAACACTGCTGATTATATAAGCACCAGATATGCCAGGTAAGTAATTTAGGATAGAAATTCATCTCTATCCTTCCTGGTCTTCCTAGTATCATAGAAACCATTATGAAAATACCATGTCATGCATTTGCCAATATACACAACAGCTTAATGCCTCTTTTCAAGCAATGAAAAATGATGTTAATTAATCAGAAGCACCATTCATGGCCATCACAGAAGATGTATCTTTGTAAATTGCCAAAGGAAGGGAAAACAGCCACCAGTTGTTCAGGAATTAATATTGCAATATTAATGCAATATCAGGGGTTTTCAATTCAATGTATAGAATGTTAAGGATGTGTGTTTGTGTTTATTTTCATAGTCAAAATGTACACTGAAGATGGTATTTAATTTCATTGTACAAGGTACAATGACAATAAAGTAAACTAAACTAAAGAGGAAACTTTAGTTCTTATGGGAAATGAACTTGAACTACTACAGGTGTGAAATGGAGTTTAATGGCAGAAAAGTGTTCTGAAAACACAAAATGACTAAGCTGAACAATGTCAATGAGTGGGCTGAATGTTACCTGCCTACCACTATGGTAGTGTAAATGGAAATCTATAGTCTTAAGTTTATTTCATTCACGACTTGCTTTTAAAGGGAACAATATTGTACTTCTTTTGCTCCCAACTCTTTACTTTTCCACCGCAAAAAAGAGATAATAACTCTCATTACATTGTGTGACCCAGTGGGAAGTCAGAACACAGCTAATGTTGTAATGCTCCTAAAAGTAAGCATCTCTACTTAGGAGCACTTTTAGAATGGAATATCACAGGGTAACAGGTCTATAGAAACTCCTTTTAGCTTCATCATGAAAGAGTATGCTTTGTACAAATATATTCACCTTGATAATCTTCCAGCAGCATTTGATGTCTAGAATACAAGAGACTGTATAAGAAAATTAATTTTTGCTAAGAGCCTTCAGATTAGAATGGTTACTCTATCATTAAGAACAACAAAAAAAGCATGTCTCTGGAAATGAAGATACAATGCAGAAGCTTAAAAATCACTTATATTATTTTAAAGCCATAAAAGCTTTTGAACTTCACAAACACTGCCTTTAAATACATGTTATTCATTCTAATTTGTTCCTCTTTTTCTTAAGTATTTCACTTGAGAAGATTACAAGTGATATGACTAGATGATCATTATGGGCAATCACTGACCATAATATTTAGTGAAATGGTAAAGACTGTAATGTTGCACAATAGAGGCAAGTGAGCAAAATTCCATAGACCTTAAAGTAATTGAAGTTGACCTGTCAGATAAGAAGACCATACTTTTCTTTTCCAAACTTCTCTGATTATTAAAAGCATTATTTAAAAATTGTTCTATTGTGTAGAAAGAAGAGCATGGAAATACATGCATGATTGATTCCATCTCCCTGCTGAGCAAGAGCTGAGGGGATATTCTTAAATCTCCCTTACCACATAGATGAAGGCAAGAATCTGATCTGGCTAAAATAAAATCTCTCTTGTGAGTCAGTCACAGTCACAGATTGTTAGCAAAGGTACAGTAAGTAGAAGCAGATAAGCTTCCATACCAGCCTAAACTAGATACAGATAGATCATAAAAGATGCTGTAGATCTGCCTAAATTGCACATCTATACTTTTAAATGTTTATATTCCTTCTTGGTACAAGCAATTGTCAAACAAGAATTTAAACTTCTCCATCCCATCCGAAACTGTCATTATGTGAATAAGGATCATGTCTTCATGCCCTCAACTGTACCAAATATAGGTAGTCCTTGACTTACAACCACAATTGAGCCCCACATTTCTGTTGCTAAGTGAGACATTTGTTGAATGAGTTTTGCCCCATTTTATGACTTTTCTTGCCATAGTTGTTAAACGAATCTCCACCGTTGTTAAGTTAATAACATGGTTGTTAAGTGAATCTGGCTTCCCTGTTGATTTTGCTTGTCAGAAGGTTACAAAAGGTGATCATAGGACCCTGGGACGCAGCAACAATCATAAATATGAACCAGTTTCCAAGCATCCAAACTTTGATCAGGTGACCTTGAGGATGCTGCAACAGTTACGTGAAAAGCTGTCATAGTTTTTTCAGTGCCATTGTAACTTTGAACAGTTACTAAATGAACTGTTGTAAATCAACATTTTGTACTTGACAAAATAAGAGTTATTGTATTTTCCAAAG